AAGTAAAGATAATTCTTATACATCTTATAAAGGTTCTAAAAGTATTATTAATGAATATAACACAGTATATGTATTATGATAGCTTTAAATATTGAGTAAATATATTTTAACAAAAATATATTGAGAGTAAATACTTTATTATAGTATTTTACTTGAAGAAAAAGACTTGTGTCTACTATATAATATAATATAAAAGCATTTTCTACACTTATAATGTGTACTAAAGTTCTATTAATGTTTATAACAAATATAAACTCTGTTTGAGAGGTTATAAACTTAATAAATGTATAGTACTCAAATGTAACATGTATACTATAATAGTATAGTAAATATAAAGTGAGTTACTTAGCTTATGTAATGGTTGGATATCACATGAGACTTTACTTAAATCTTGAGTGCCACACTCGCCCTCGTTGCTTGCCTTTGACCTCTGCCTACTCTCAACCCTCTGCCCTGTGAATGGTGGCACTCATCACTTTTGTTCCCTCCAGTCCAGGTTTGCATTCCTTTTTGAATTCGCATTCGTGCATCTGTATTGTTTCCAATGCCAAACGATTTCTTCAATAATTCCATGCATTTGCATACTTCTTCCCGCTCTGCAGCACAAGCAACAATCAGCGAGCATACGCTTGCAACAATGTCTATGTACAACCACTCCCAAGGTGCAATCCTCTCTCTGACCCCTCGCATACTTTCCTTCCCCACCTGCCATTCCATGCTTGACGTGCATTTACATTACCTAGTGCTGTTCATGACACTGTTTCGAATAACGGAAGTAGTGGCCCACCACTCACCCCTCCTGAGCTGAGTCCGTCCACACCTTCCACTTCTTCCTCCTCCCTTCGAGCCAGAACGTCCCAGAGATACACCTTTGCAGTCATCCCCAACAACTCAGTTCACTGTACCTCCGATTGTGAGACGTAGTCAGAGCATGTAATGCGCAGGTACAAACACAGCTTTGCCTGCAGCCCAAATCATCTTGTTCAACGCTCCGGATCACGACCCCGGTGCACCGCTTACACTCGCTACACGCCATCGCGATACATCCATCTCCTTGCTCCAGTAAGCCACTCACGTCAATGCCAATACTCACGCTCACACCTTTAGCCAGACAGTCTCACAACTTCTCTCACAAGCACAACCTCAACCTACACAACACGTACAACCTTACAACCGACAGGCACACGCAATTCAACTTGCAGGGACCGAGTGACGACTAAGTCTTAGTGACTAAGACCACATCAAACGACCCAAGAACGCATTCATTGTCTTCCGTCGCAAATGCTGTTTGAAAAAGAACGAGGCAAAGGCTGCACTACCTGCAGAAGACGACCTGGTCGCACGACATCAGCGTCGAGCTGACCTCTCCAAAACGATCTCATACCAATGGCGTTCGCTGTTTGTAGAGGAACGTAAATACTGGGGCGAACTCGCGAAGCAGAGGAAGAAAGAGCACAAGGAGATGAATACCCATGGTACGTCTATCGGTTGTTGTGATTTGCTAAGGTAGTAATAGTTTTGTTTCTGTTATAATGTGTTAATATTATGTACCGTTCGGTGTTGTTAGTAAAGAATAAAATATTTAAATAAAATATATATTGTATAATAAGCCATTCAGATAAGATATAAGCTGTAAATTAACTTATTTAAGGATTATAAGATAGCAGAAGAAGTATTATACCATATCAGAAGAGGGGTGCAATATATACCATTATAGACTTTCCTAAGAGCTATAATTCTTATATCCCTATTGTAAGGACATATAATGTTTATTAATTCTCATAATATAAATCTGTCTTATTACAACCTTATAGTATCTTTTATATATCTTATCTAATGAGGGGTGCAATAAATGTCATTATGGATAATATTGTTTTTTTACATATTATATATGCATATAAGAGTATATAATAATTAAGACTTTTTCCTGACGTGTCCCCTAGTACAGATGTCTCTTATAATTGAGGAAGAACAGGGACTGTCCTGTTATAGAGTGTTACTAGTTATTGTGTACAAATTCTGTCAGAGCTAACTATTCAAACTAATCTGATTACTAATGATTAATAAACATTTAAAGGTAGAGCTTGATCTCCTGATTGACTTGCTCAGTTTGACTGTTAGTCTACAAGTAATATGTAGTAGAAGGGTTCCCTTAAATTCTGAGAAGTACATACAAGTCCTATATGAATTTTAACTTGAATTGTAGTCTGTAATTGTGAATAAGCTTTTAAGAGAGTCTGTACAACTAGAAGATGTGATCCTGATAAATACATACTATACTTTTAGAAGTGAGTTCTGTTTGGGTTGGAACTATATAGACTTACTTAGAGAATCAGTCAACAATCATACAGATAGTGTTGTAACTCTAAGACTTAGGTAGCTCACTAATCAGGTTTACTAAGACTTCTTCCTAAGAGTGATCTAGGATCTAATACAGATGTAGGGGAGTCTAAACCCTTGTCTGGTAGGCTTTAGTCTGTTAACACATATTACAACTAGTTATGTACTTTAGGATTTCCTTCTACATTCCTGGCCACTAGTAGTTTCAAGTAATGAGTTCCTGTGTTTTGTGTCAGTCTGAATGTTCTATAGTCAGATTGTTGTAATAAGCTCAGACAATGTCCTCCTACAGCTTCTAATCCTTTAGAACATACAGTTAGCCTTCCTAGTAAACCTGTCCATCCTTATCCTTCTCTCAATCCTTAGCCTACTTCTCTAACTACTTTACTATGACCTAGTCTTGTATGTGTCTCAGAGCTTACTGTATGTAAGTGACAAAGTCAACATTCTTGGATTTGAGTTGGATCTCTTAGATTGTCTCAGACACAAAATAGGAATTGTTTAGAAGAACAAGATTTTTGTTATTATTCTCCCCCCTTTCATAACCTACTTGTCTTAAGAGTAAATTAGCTTTTGTCATTTGTATTCTAGGTTTGTAAGTCAGTATAAAGTTGTAGTTCTACAGTTCTAACATCTAGTAGGCTTAGTAGTAGTTAAGCTTCTAAGGCACTTAGAAGTACTAGAGATTAAGGTGATTACTCTAAATCTTAAACTTCTGTATAATACTAAGGAGATATTAATACTACTCCTCTAGGGAACAGACAATTGTAAGGAGTTCCTTATTATAAATAGAATAGTTCTGTTCTGTTATAAAGAGGGATTCTGATTAGAATACTATTAGACACTACTTTCTGTCAATAAACTAGGACAGTACTACTCTATTTGTAAAGTTAGAAGAGTTGGCTTTAACTCAGAACTTGTTTACAACTATTAGAACTACTAATACAGACTTACTAGTAATAGTCTACTTGAGAGACTCAAACACAGACTACTACTAATTATTCTATTACTAAGAAACATCTTTGCTAGTAAGATTGTGAAGAGGCTAGACAATAGTACTAAAGTCTTAAATAAAGTATTAGTAGTAGTTTACAAACTTAAGGAATACTTAGACCTGTTTTAGGTTTTAAGGTTGTAACTAGTTCTAAACTATAGTTACTTTTACTAGATCCATACAGACCTCTCCTCTACTGATTACAAAGCTTAGATAATCTACTGACTCCTGTACAAAAGAGTACTTTACTTCTTAGAGAAACAGTTTATTATTTTAAAACTGTTGTAGAACTGCTTAGATCAGTTAGTAATAGTATTTGACTGTTTAGGTGAAGATCAGAATGTTGTCTAGATCATCACGAAAAAGTCGCAACAAATGTATTTAATAATAGCAAAAGTAATCTAATAAAATGATTTCATAAGCATTACATT